TGACTCTCCTTATTATCCCAATTGCTAAAACAAAAAACTTGTTCCCTGCAAATTTTCTTTCTTTTTCCACCGACAGTACATGAATGAAAAGAACTTGTATCATCACAATTTTTCGGATCACAAACACAAAAGTAGCCAAGCAGAACTTTAACTTGGGAGATTCTTGTGTCTATCTCTCCACCTCTGATCGAGTTAGTATAGTTCTTTGTGCGATATAAACTAATGTGGAGCCAGGTTTCCTGAAAGCTAATCCAATCCACAAGAGAAGGACAGACCACTTTGCATCACCATTATTCTTATTCCATTTTTTAAAGCACTACAGCGGTACATTGATTAAAATCATTTTGTGTCAATCTTCTTTTGACGAAACATTTTGTTGAAGTCCCATTCAACCATTTTCAATTGCTTTCCAATTAGCCAATGTGATGGATGTGTCACCAAATGATGCTGGCATGCTGCTTATATCATGACATTGATCTCAAGGAAAGAAAATACAAGTTACATAGTGCTGCTATATCGAACAGGATTTGAAGGGGCCACCGGCAACTGTGAAACCCACTATTTGGGAGCACAAAAACTAGGTTTCCCCTATAATGGTAATTTGCCTCAACCTTCACCTATCGGCAACTGGGAAACCCACTATTTGAGAGCACAGAACTTAAGTTTCCCTATAATAGTAATTTGCCTCAACCTTAACCTAAATATCGAGCGAGGCAGTATATCACAGGTGAAGCTAGTAAAGTCCCAAAGCAAAGGAGAACTCTAAATCTCAGTAAGTCCAGAAATGACAGTGAAAATATTTGCAAACCATTCTTACCACTGACATAACAACATCAAATAGAAAAATTAAACGTGAAAGACTAGATAAAAAAATCACAAAAAAAGAAGATAAAAAGTACTCTAAAAGCATAATGGCTTGTAATATATAAGCTTCCACGCGAATAATGTATGAGGAATCAGAAATGGATAAGTTGAGAAGGTTGTGCGTTGGTTAGGAGTCAGAGATTATGCACCTATTGAGAATGATGGAAAGTTGACTAGAGCAGTCCGTTAAACATCGAACAATAACTCCAAAAATATCTTCCCCAACTTTTCAAAACCACATCCTCGTGAAGTTAATTGAAATAATTATGTATCAAACGATAAATATTCAGCCTACAAGAAAAAACCAAGTCGCAAGCTTCATAGACAAGAAACTCCCCTTTTCAAGTGCCCCAAATCCAAGGAGTTTGGGACACATCTAATCGCTCTTCTCAGTCTAAGCCTAGCCATTCGAACAAACAAACTCTTATCCTTAACCTATTCCTATAGATCTCTAGCAGTCTAGCCTCTCTTAGTGCACGCTTCTCCTTGAGAGAGAGAGAGATCCCTTGTGGCATCTAGCTCCACATGCCTTGCAAGTTGCAAGAAAAGGAACTGAAAATAAGTACAAATGGCTCGTAATACACTTCTCTGTTCGTACATAAACAGTGGCCACAAAACGTTTAAAAGAGCAGGCCATGAAACTCCTAGATGAAGGACCCCCCAACATAAATACCCTTGTGTAAAGGAAAACAATATTAAAATGGCAAGACACCATCTTATTCTTGCTTTTATCACTATTATTGGCAATTCCTTGGGGCCCCATCACCATTCAGCCCCCACCAACATTAAATCAGAAGGCAATTGGAAAACAAAGGAACCCCACCACCACTGAATTCAATATTTCCATTAAGCTTTGAAGCTTATCACTCACTCACGTCTCTGAAAAGGAAATGCATCTTTTCAATGTCTTTATCACATAACATACCGACTTGACACGACAGAGTATTGAACACTACAAATGTGCCTGTTTGTAACCTGTGCCCACCATTACAGTGTTTACCCTAGATGCAGTACTAGAGAAGAAAAGTATAGGGGAAAAATGAAACAGAAAGTTATTGTGAATAAGAATCATATGCTGGTGTGATCCTATCTGCATGGATGGATGGCTTGCTATCAACAAAGTAAATCCAAATGTAATATCAAAATCACTTAATAAATGGACACTCCTGCATGTTCACATTTATCTACAAGGATGAGTAGATCCATCCATCCATCCATCCATCACCAATATAAATAAAACAAGCATCTAAGAACCTTTTTATGAAGGCATAAAAGTAAAGCAGTTTTATTTGTTTACGAAAGGATAAGGAGCACTGATGGCAGAATCAACTAACTATAAGATTAGGATTTTGGCCATGGATGGAATTATTGTTTCTTTAGTTCCTCCAAAAGATAACCAGGTAAAGTTGGCTTGATTTGAGTAGTGAAAAGGTGAAGAAGATGGATGAAGTCGGGAATCCTAAGCTTGACAAGGGCAACAGTAAAGATGACATAAGCATTGTCCCATGAAACACCAAGCATTGGGCTAGTGGGGTTGCTGTACTGAGAGACCAAATAAATTAAAAGAGTTAACTTGGTTTCCAATATTATGAAATCTATCTCCATTTGTTTCCCCTCTCCTTCGATGATCTAACCCTTCGAGTCTGCTACAATCATTCCACCCTTTCCCTATTCATCTTACCTCCACACACTTCTAAGAAATTTCAGATTCGTGAAGATATGATCTTCCAGGAAGAAGCAATTGAAACAAAAACCAGCAAACACCAAAACGAAATGTTGAACAACAGCAATAGCAGTGAAGGTTATAATGATAACAATCCAGGAGAGTGGCTGAATCTGAGCCTAGGTGGAAATTCACCATCAACAGCCGGAGATTATGAGTCGCAATCAAGACCTACTTCTAGCAAGGTTTTCTCATGTAACTTCTGTAGAAGGAAGTTCTACAGTTCACAGGCACTTGGAGGTCATCAGAACGCCCACAAGAGGGAGAGGGGTGCAGCCAGAAGATACCACTCCCAGAGGATGATGACAATGATGGGCTTACCTATCAATTCTCCAATGGCTAGATCACTTGGAGTCAGGCCCCATGCCCTCGTGCACAAGTCAAATAGAGATGGAACTGCTATTGCCGGGCTATTTAATGAAGCCAATCCAGGATTTGATATGTCATGGATGCCCTTCACACTCGATGATACAACGGATTTGACATGGCCAGGCAGCTTTCGCTTGGATCCACAACTACCAGAGACCTCATCAGAGTCACTCAAGCTTGACTTGAACCTCCGACTCTAATCAATCCGTGGTCTGTGGTTCCGAATTTTCTTCTCGTGGAACAGTTTTTGATGTGCCATTTAATGCGGAAACTAAGACAGATGGGCAACCAACCGTTCGAAATGTTAAAAATCATCCTGATTCTGCCCGGTAAAACCAGAAGAAACATGGAAAATGACCTACCATGTACGCATGTCATGTACAAGAACCCTAGAAAACACCCCCACCCTTCAGTTCAATTTCTGGAAAATAAATGCCAATGAACCATATTTATATGGCACCTAACATATAGGGTTCCTTCGATCCTAATCATCAACTTCCAGTTTTAAGCCATTGTACACTTCTTTTTAAAGTGATAATAAAGTTTTGTTTTGTTTTTTTTTTTTTTTTTTGCTGCAATAATTATACCAATTTACACCATCAGTTATTATTCTCTCTTTTTTTCATGTAATGATTACGCTGTTTGACATCATTATACGTTTTTTTAATTTTAATTATAAGTTTTTTTATGCAGTTATTTTGTGCAATGATTATCCATTTTACACCACAGGTAATTATTCCTTTGGAGATCTGAGTTGTCTTAACGTATAATTATTTATCAGAGCATCCTAACACAAACCAGACAGTGCCAAAAAGGGAAGGATGATAATGGAAGGAAAACAATAACACTTACTTGACATCATGTGTTAGCGCTCTCTGTTTCCAATACGGCCCTCCATGTGGCATTCAACACTTTCAAATTGCCATTTTTCTTTGCTTCTGATATATGTTCCAAAAAATCGAAGAATAGCACAGAAGGATAGCTGAACCCAGCTAATTTGGGACTGAGGCTTGGTTGACGTTGTTGTGTATATGTCTTAATGACATCCCAGCTAAGATAAAGTTAAACTGGTCATAAGCCTGTGAAAGGTAAACCTGCATTTAACTGCCGTGCAATCCCAATAACTTAGTGCATGGAAGTTGACTACCTAAGAACCGCAGGGAGAAACAGTCTAAGAAGTCGGTATTGATTTATCATCTCCCAGTTGAAAAATAAATTTGATATAGTACAAAAATTCTTACTGCCATTCATTATGGCACACTTTTCCTTCTTTTACTCCAGGCTCAGTCCATGCCCACTATTGCCCTTGTCTTCTTGCAGAAGCATATTTAACTTGTATCAATATCTCCAATATTGCATGCCACTCTCTTCATCCAGACCTCAATTGTTTCCTTTGCATATTCCATCCCAACATGCTCAGTTGAATATAATGGCTCATAGGTGTATTTTTCCAAATACCACAATTTACTTTATAGGTGTAAATCATCTGACACTGTCAATCCTCCAAGGCCCAAATTTTCTCCATGAACATGGTCAGGAAACACCAAGAGGTAATGTCATACAAAGGGATATTATCTATCATTGATGGTGGATAGGTTTTCTTCATCCCTTGTCAAGAGTTCTGAGGTAATTTATTTCAGTTGATACAACACTCCAAAAGCTTTGTTGCCTTCTCATTGTGCATGTTTTCTACAGTCCAAACATAGTTCATGTGTTCTCCTAGTGCTTATTTATCTCAGTTTGTCCTAGTCACAAAGTCATGTGCATGTTTCCCTGTTAATTTCTGCATCCTATTCGCACATGATGATGTATGGTAACAAAGATACAAACAGAGAACATCCTTAAACTAGTATCTTTGTTCGTCCAGTGAATATCATTTTTCTGATTTCTTTCCACACATAAAATTTTAAAATACCTTACCAATCTAACAAGAGTGACTTAAAAACTCACTAGGAGAATAAAATCCATGAGAAAGGACTTGATGACTATATGGCTCATCTTAGTAAGCAATTCAAACATTCATGCACAAAGACAATTTACAGCCTTACAAATTAAGCTTTAGCTTTTGGCTCTTCTGCATGATGACAGAAAGCCTTTGACTGATGATGCTCGGATCACTGTATGATGCAGAATCAGTGGGATATCCTTTCTGCAAAACAACGTTACAGAAATAAAAGCATAAGAATTGGATAGCACTTGTTAAAATGTTAAACAAGTAAACCATGCCACAATTAGAAATATATCTAAGAAAGGCTCCAAATGCCTACAGAAGAGAATAAAAACATATAACCTTCTGAGAACAGGAAGACAACAAAAACTCAATATTGGCCAATTAAACAGCCTATCTGAATGCATATTAAGATACCTATACCCCCAAAACATCATGAACTTCAGCAATGTATAAATAGTGTGGCATTTACATCAATGCAATATCATTACACATGTACCAGGCCACCTACTTCCACTTTAACCAACTTATGTAATACTTTTGTAGTCATACTCAATAGAACTGAGTGCAGAAATTACCAGATTCAAAGATGTGTAAATGACAGAAACATGTATTTTAAACAGCAATGTCCTGTGCCTAAAGTTTCCCAGGAGATGCTGGAGAGTTGATTACATTCATCCTCTAGGAAAAATTCTGTATTTCTGTCTTTTCTATCCAGATTAGCTTTTCCTTTTGCTCCCTGCTCCTCTTTTAGACACAATTTTGAAAGCCATATGCACTACTGTTTTTTTTTATAGAAATAAACAGATGATCATTCCCATGACAGCGCTCAGAAAAGAAACCATCTTTTTCTGAAAGAGTAGAAAGCAGGAAAATAAAGGTAATACAATAGTCATCCTCATGAACAGATGCATGCAAGCATGCTCAAAGACACATACAAACACATCTAGCCATACATGTGCTTGCTATTATGGATGTGCATGTAGATAGATAGATAGATAGATAGATAGATAGAGGGAGAGAGAGAGAGGTTACAGCAGCAAGAGCTTGAAAGGTAGCTTCTCTCCAGCAGCTTTCTCGAAGAACAACAGGGTTTGCACTATCATTAAAAGCACAATGCATACGAGTGTCCCTTAATCTCATTAGCACTCCATCAACTCTGAGCTGTAACAGAAAGGGATGGAAACAAGAAATTGAATTACTGAACATATAAAGTGAAGAAAAAGTGTCCCTTTTCAGGATAAGAAAAATGTTTAAAAGCTTCTTTATATTAGGCATTGATACATGCACGCATGTACATGGATAGAAATAGAGCCGTTTAATGGATGTGCAAATTGAGTAAATAATGACAATTAACTCACCCAGAATCGTAAAAGAAGAAACCAACTACTTGGCATGACTCTCTACAAAATTCAAAGAGGGCATAATCAATTCTTTGGAAACTTATTATCAGGCAGCATATCTTATCAGTGCTTAGAAAAACTAGTAAAAGTATCAGTATTTACCACTTTTACAGTTAAAAGCGACACCCCATTATCAGCCAGTTCATCTTCATACAAGACTACCTGTGGAATAAAACAGATTATTTCATCATGACACACCATAAATACCAGGAAGAGAAAATGGATATCAAATTTTATGAATTCATGGTCAACCTCATCATAGAAAAGAATAGGCTCTTTTGATGCAAGTGCAACCACATCAATTTGCTCTTCACAGTCTTCCCAACAGGGGATGCAGCTAGCCTCCAAAATTTCCCCACTGTCTTTCTGGTCACAAAACCAAGGATATGATAGCAAAATTTCTTAAACAAAACAAAATTGGCATAAGGATAGCCATTTTTTATATTTAACAAAAGCTTAATTACGCTATATTTGAGCCAGCTGATGTTCGGCTATTTATCAAAGGTCCATCTCAGCCACGGTTAAAATAAATTTTATTATTATTTTTTTAATCCAAGTCATTTCATAGTCTTCACAGTTTACCCAAACAACCTAAAAGGAAGTATGAATCAGGAACTCTTTTGAAGCCATTAACGTTTTGAAGGAAATAAAAAAAGGCAGGAATAAAGCAGAAATAACAAATAAAAGAAAAACAAAAAATACAACGTTAAAATAAAACCGCTAACGAAAAATTTTTAGACGGCTGGGACATGAATTAATCCATTAAATCCAAAAGCTACTCAGAACTTGGCTTTAATCTCCAACACAGAAAATCCTATAGCAACAAAACTTCACTTTATTCCCGCCAACCACAAACACAACAAAAAGTTCCTTAAGTAACAGAACAAACCTTCTCCGTATCCAATTCAATTGTTTCACTACCACAATAAGGTGTTGTGAACGTATAATCATAATCCAATATCACCTGTTGGAATGGTTTGCTGCAAATTAAATTAACACCAAGTGTTAACGCAAGCCAAAAATAGTCTCTCTTCACTCATACTCATACACATTAATATATCAAAAATTTAGACAAGCAACATTCTATTAATGCAATGCGCTTCAGAACGCCATATATTTATGCAACTAAATCCAAACAAAATGAAACAGATAGTCAGATACTTAAATTACCTTCTAAATTTCCATTGTGCAGCAGCAGGAACCTCAACCGGAGGTAAAGCCTCTTGTTTCCAGCCAGTTAGGGCATCAAATGCATTAAAATGAATTTTGGTACCACTAGTCACATGTTTAAGTACTAAACAACTTTCGCCAAAAACCATCTCTGGTAAATGAGAAGTTTTTAGCTTCTCTTCCCATCTGTAGCAGTCACATCAAGTATCAAAAACTCAAAAATTAACAATTTGTGCTCAGATTTGCATTTGACACTTTAATTGAGTGCAAATTTGAAACTAATTTAGAGAGAGAGAGAGAGAGAGAGAGTACGTGGTCAGAGAGGAGGAGTTGAGAATGAAGCCCTTGCTAGACACGATTTCCCAGCCGTGGATGTGGAGTCCATGGCGGCCGTCGGTTAGAAGCTCAGCGCCAGCGGCTTTTAGGTCTTTGTCATCTACTTCTACCTCCATCGCAGTCGTTTTTTAATTAAGGATTCGGTCGGTTTGGCAGTTTTTCAGGTTCACTTCGGTTTGGCAGTTTTTCAGCTTCGCTTTGGCATTGTACTTGTATTAGGCATTCCGGGTACAAGATTTGGCAGGTCGGGTGGGCCGATAAAACAGATCCAATTTGGTAATTTTCTTTAAAATAAACTTTTTTTTTATTCACGCTATACTGCGGATTAAATAAAATATATAAAATAATTAAAAATATATATAAAATCAAAGATAAAAAAAATTAATCAAAAATTTTATATATAACTAGTTTTTATTTGTGTTTTTCATAAATTGTCCTTTAAAAAAAAATTTGTTGTTGTTAATACATACATGAATTATTAACTAAAAAGAAAATTAAATAATTTTTTAAAAAAATTTAGTATTTCATAAGATTATGTCAAAAAATACAAATAAAAATTATTAAAAGTTTACATAGAATGAAACAAATAATTTTTTCATTTAATGTTAATGAGAATATCGATTTTTTCAAAAATGTGAATTTAATTTTTATATATTTATTTACAAAAGAATGAATAATATTAAAATAAAAAATATATTAATTTGAATTATTGAGTGGTTAAGTCAAAACTTTATTTTAATTATTTAATTCAAAAATAAATAAATAAATAGTAAATGCTTAGTGTAGAGAAATAATATTATTATAATATGAACATGATGTTAATAACTTATGACTATATTAAAAAAAAATTAAAATAGTAAATTTTAAATAATTAAAATAATTTAAATTAAATATTAACATAAAATGGGACCAAATCACAATAACATTAAAGTTTAAAATTTTAATAACAATTATTAAAAGTTTACATAGAATTGAACAAATAATTTTTTTATTTAATATTGATGAGAATATCGATTTTTTCAAAAATATGAATTTAATTTTTATATATTTATTTACAAAATAATGAATAATATTAAAAATAAAAAAACTATATTAATTTGAATCATTGAGTGGTTAAATAAAAAAATTATTTTAATTATCTAATTTAAAAATAAATAAATAAATAGTAAATGCTTAGTGTAGAAAAATAATATTATTATAATACGATCATAATATTAATAACATATGATTATATTAAAAACAATAATAAATTAAAGTATTAAATTTTAAATAATAAAAATAATTAAAAAAAATACTAAAACAAAATGGGATCAATTACAATACAATTAAAGTCTGAAATTGACAAAAAAGATATATAGAAATATTGAGGACCAAAGTGCTAAAAAAATGATATAAATAGTGAAAGAAATAGTAATTTATGAGTGTATTAATAATATTTCAAACAATGAAAATGAATAATAAAATCATATTTTATTTTAATTTTTTTTAGTAATAGTAATTGGGCAATTTCTGTAGTTGCTTTTTTCTGAGCTTAATTTCTACCGTTGCTTGACTTGGAACTCGAAGCGATGGGATGAATTTACATATATACTGAACAAAAAATTTAATAGCTGGATGGATGTTAATCTCTTTTTTAAAAAAAAAAAACCTTTTGCATTCTTTAGTATTCCCTCCTAAGAAATAAGTGGTATTTTTCCTGAATATTTTTTCCTTTTAACGGTGTATATTTTAATATTAGCTTTTATATACAGAGATTAAATTTTGTTAGTCAAATCAGATCGTTTACATTGAATTTTGAGTATTTAAAAAAATATTATTTTCTAACTGTTTCCCTTCGAATTCATATTCTAGTGACAAAATGAGTTATGCTCGGTTTACTCATTTGGAATTAAAAAAAAAAAAGGCCATTTCTTTTCCTTTTGAGCAAATAATGTAAATATAACTTTGAACTATTAAATTAGCCTATCTTGTTTTGATAAAGAAATTAATTAATTTTTTTCGATTTAAAAATTAAAATTTTAGTTTTTTATTGGTAATTTTTTTCAATCTATCAAATTAATACATAATATCTAAAATACATTTTAACATATATTTTCATCAATAGAGATATTTTTTATTTTTGAGGAAAAAATGGAGATTGATAAGATAAAAAGTACAGATTTGAGAAGAGAAATTTTGAAGAGAGAGAAAGGGAAGAGATGTATGTAAAAAAGAAAAATAAAACATTAAAATCTATATATATATATATATATATATATATATATATATATATATAGACAGTCCATCACATCTTTAACGGAAAACTTGCCCAAAAAAAAAAAAGTTATTAACAAAACTAAAATATAAATAATTAAATAATTAATTTTTAAAATAAAAAAATTAATTAATTTGAAAAACAAAAATAACTATTAATGGACTTTGAGCCTTTTACCAAAAAAAAAAACCCATTGCTTAAAAGCAAAAGGAATAACTTTTTCCCATGTCGTCGTCTCCCCCCCCCCCCCCCCCCCCCTTCTTTTTTGGAGGGGAGGAGAGAGAGATCTCTGCACCGTCATTTTCTCTCAAACTCGGTATAAGTGAACAGTGTTTTCTAACATATAAATATATATTTGGTTGGAATGAGGTACCATAACGTGTTCGATTTCTCTTTATATTCTTAAAAAAAAAAAAAATCAATTATACATATGTATTTTAAATGAGTTTTTAATCTATAATTTTAATGACATTTTTGAGCAAAACTATTAGAAAATATAATATAATTTGCACATAATAAATTCATTTTGAAAATACATTTTAGATGAATGAGCATGCACAAGTTATCAATCTATTACTACCTTCTCTCCCACCTTATCCGAAATCCAGTCAAGAAAAAGTTGAATCTATTACTTTAGGAAATTTGGTTTAGTCCGTCTTATATAATTGATTGAGTGTTCAATCTATTTTTATACTTTCAAATGAGTTAATCAACAAAGCTGTATTTTCAATGAATTTTAAGTTTATTTTTCTAATGGCCTTTTTATAACAAAACCATTGAAAAACATCTTCTGAATTATGCATAATCAATTTTATAGTGAAAATGTCTTTCAACTGAGTGGGTGTATATAAGTTACCTCAATCATCATCTTCTCTTCATTTGTGTTGTTAGACTTGAGGAAAAGGTGGGAAATTTTGATTTTAAGGTCTAAGTGCCAAGATGGATAGATTGAGAGTTGATTTTATGAGAAATTGAGAATATTGCTATATAACATGTTTTCAGATTTGTCATCTTGCTTTTCTTTAAAATTTTATTATCATCGTGCCAAGTGCTAAAAGATTAAGTACAAACCTTTCAATAAGCCTCCTTATTTGCATTTCAGTCCAATGGCACCCATGGATTTGAGAAGCTCTAGTTACATGTATTTTTCTTTTCTTGGCCAAGAGGCCTTCTGTCTTGGGTACAAAAATAATTGCACTAAGCTAATTATGTTGCCACGAGGTTAAAAGTTTTTATAGATCCTTCAACTCGTAATTTTATACTAGTTTTACTCTTTTATTTTTAAAACGATCTACGGTTTTCAATCAAACACCGTGTAACCAATCTAATCTACTCGCACGTGCCCAAATCTTTTTTTTTATGTTTTAAATCCCCTTTTCCCTTTTTTTTTGGCCTTTTTCCCTTCTTCCTCCTCTCTCCTACTCTCTTTCCACCATGGCTGCCACTCTCTCTACTCCTCTCTCCTTCACCACCAAAACAAAGACTACACTTTCCACGCACTTTGGGCAGGAAAAGGACCGTCTAGGTAAACAAGATCGAGCCTTTGAAGCACTTGTTCAGGCCGCTTATGCACTTGTTTCTTGAGAAAGGGTAGTCTTTCTATGCAGCATTGGAGGCGAGAGCAGAGAGGGTGGCAGCCATGATGGAGAGAGAGGATAAAAGAGGAGGAAGAAGAATAAATTATAAATTCGTTCCTCTTCTTTCAAGAAACAAATTAATTAATTATTATTTAATTTTTTGACTGTGTTAATATTATTTTTATTTCTTACTGTTTGAAATAAAAATTAAATAAATTACAAAATATTAAATTATAAATAAATTTAAAATTATGAAAATTAATTAATTAATTTTTAAAATAATGAAGATAATTAATTTGTTTCTCGAGGACTAATTTATAATTTACTCAAAAAGGGAAAGGAAAAAAAATTAAAAGAAAATGATTTGGACATGTGTCAACAGAATGGACTGGTTAAAAGTCGAGTGAATAAAAACCGTAGATGCCAGTGAAAAAATAACTTAACTAAGACGATTTTAAAAGGAAAAAAAAAAGACATTACGACAAATAAAAGTAGAATTAAAGAGACCATAAAAACTTAACCATTATCATAATACTTCTAAATGGAACTATTACACAGCATTTATATTGAAAACTACGTATTTTCTTCCAGATTTTCTACACTTGTATTTTTGGCATCAAAAGATTTCTTACCTGGCAGCAAAATTTGGGCTGTAGGCTAGAAGAGACTGAAAATGCGACCTTTTACTTGGGAGCAAAACCATAGTATTTTCATACTTGGGAGTCAAAAAACATTAGCCCCAGAATATTATGTTCTCAAAGCTAGGTGGTCAATATGATCTACAAAGTTGTTTGCAAATTCAGAATTATCTACTTTAAACTCCAAACATAAAAACCTGCAAAATAATGGCTGCCAGGGTGTGCAAAGCTGAAAGTTAACCAATTTACAATGCCAAAGTCTTGAAGCACCTCCATTTAGACCAACCAGCTATCAACAAGAAGTTGACGAGTACCGCCATCCAACTGAGCAAGAATATAGAAAGAAAATAATGCTGTAAAATGTGCTGGAAGAAAACAACACTACTTCAACGCATTCTTGAAAACCCCACAGGGCATAGCTCATTGACGGCCGCAAAATAATGCACAGGAACTTCTGAGGGAGGAGATAAAGTTGCCACATGCTTAAACTGTTTCCAGGAAAAACAGAAAAGGAGGAAAAAAGAATATCACCACTTTAATATTCATTACTTGCAAACCCGTGACCTAAATTTTATAAGCCAATACTGAGCAATCAACACAAAGAATTGGCAGGAATCCAATGAATCATACTGCCATTGCTCAAACCTGTTTCTTCGGAAGGTAAGCACATGAGATCACAAATAGAAGCAGATACTGTGTAAAATGAAATACCTTGTGCTGTGTGTATTTATCTCTCACTGCTCTCGAAGAGCTTCCTTTTCTATTTAATTGAATGTCATGAATGGCAAGAACGCATTCCTTTAGGTCAGATGGTCTGTAACCTGAATGACACTGCAATGCCATACTCTGAAGACACGCAAAAGAATAATTACTGACAGAAAACATTTACAAATGATGCAGTAATCTTAAAGAAGTATGACTAAATTCAAGATTTCCTGATTTTATCATCTGTCTCTCAATACCCAGGAATTTATTCACTTCTGCCTGTTGCAATCGATCTGTGCCACTCCCAGTTCTGAATATTCATAATCTTTTCTCATACTGAGTTTTTCAGATGCTTGAACAATATCTTAAACCAATGAATCTACAATGGGCTTCCCAGGTTCTGTACACTATTCAGGATATTTCCAGATATCAATATCTCTCCAAAGCTGAAAATTGCAATGCTCCCTCAAGTCTACAATTAAAATGCTCAGGCATAAAGAAATATATTTCCTTTCTCATTGTAGGGTGCAAAACATGGTTAAACAAGTTTTTAGTTTTTACCCAAGGATGCATATGTGGCTGGATCGTGAAACTTGAAAGGAAAACAGCTGATGCAGCAATCATTGATGGTAAGAAGCGCACGCACCCATATTCTAGCAAACTTAGTTCGGCCAGATAACAACTCATGAACTCGAACTGCAAATCAGAAGACTGAAAAAAACATTTTCGACAGAGTAAGTAGAAGTTAAAGGGGAAAGAAAAAGGAGAACAAGCACAAAACATTCAGAATACAGCATAAATAGTTTAGCCTACTTTGCAATTCTCTTGTGCAGCTTTCAGCAAGATTCTGCATATCCAATGATGTGTTGTTAGTAGGACTGGCTAGGAATCATACATGGGACGAGGAAAAAGAACACATTAAATGCAATAACCTACTGCCAGTTTTAAAAGTAATCTTGCCTGAGAAAATTTATTGTTGTCGGAGCACCCATTTCATAGTTCAAGAATTTAAGTACTTGTTTCTCCATACCCACTATCTGCACATTTACCCTAATTAGATACTCAACAAAAAACGCGAAACCAAAGGGCTGAGTTAAGCTGCCAAAAAATGAAGAAAAATAAAATAACTGAAGTTTGCATCAAGTAATTCCTAAAACATGAAAAAATTGAATGGACATAACACAATTATTTCAGTTTAATTTATTTCCATTAATGTGATAGAGACACACCTGATCCTTCGTGTAAGTGTTGTCTGTTATGTGGCAAAAGTTCTCGACATGTGGGGGACTAATCTCTTCATACTTCCTGCGTCATCAAAGCAGTAGTAATTAACAGTACAAAAATGGAAGGCCAACGAATAACTAACAGAAAACCGAACAGCGATAGAGGGAGTCGTCTTTTTACGAGGCAATAAGCATGCACGAAACACCAAGAAGCTGTAACTTGTTCCTACTCAACGCCTGTGAAGATAGAAATCTATCGATATACGATACAGTGAGATGAAGAGTATCTGAGACAAGTCTGTATTCTTCTGCAACTTCCACTAACCAATCCACCAGAATTTCCCTCATATTGACTGAAACATCATTCTGCACCTCCCGCATGTAATTTGACAAGCACCTTCTATTGTCTTCCATCTGAATACCCAACAATTATTTTTTCAATTTTGTAGTCCAACTGTGTTATAAACACAAGTATAATACTCAATTCATTTACCGAGAAAAATCACCAAAATTAGAAACTACATAAACCCAACTTATCCAAAAATTGTCACGTCGACCTGGCTTGTGTAAAAAAGCAGTGATCCCCTATAGTACAATTGATTCGTGTAGTGGGTCTGCAGAATTTGATTGTTATATGTCTACATTGACTAAATCTATGCAACAGTAACTCCAACTTGACACGTACCAAATTTACATTTCAGCAAAGTAGAAAACACATTCCCCAAATCCAAAGGCAAGAGACCCAAATTTCTTTCTGTCTTTTGTTTGTTACCTAATAGCATTTATTTCTTTGTTTTGAGTCAAGTCCCTTATTTCTTTGTTTTGAATAGTTTCCCCCATCAAAACAATAAATATCACCAAACCCAAAACCAAAATGAACACAATCAAGCAGTAGTAGTACTTGTGTTGTACAGCGAGAGGGGAAAAAAACAATTCCTAATCAAAGGCAAAACTCCTCATTTCCGTTACTGGTTAAATCCAAAGTTCTTGTTTCATTCGTTTCTCATTAAATTAAGGAAAACTACACCATCAAATCACACACACACACACACACACACACACACACACACACACACACACACACACACACACACACTTAATTAATACCTCCAGGGAGTGAAGATATCGATAGATAGAGGATGCGTAAGAACACCTCCTTAACCCTGAGTTCTGAGTCGACTCAGTGCTCGAAGAGTTTTCTGAAACGTTCTTATTCCCTTCCTTCACATCACATTCTATCTCGTGGCTGTTCTCGAAATCCGAGTCCCGACTTAACTCAGTGCTTGGTGGCGAGTCATCCTCTTTGGCTGCATACTTAGACTCGCTGATTTTGTAATCCGAGTTGTTTGTGATGGGGGCGGTGGTGATATTGAGAAAGTTGGTGAGTTCACCCAGGGGGACTCGCTTTTTATTGGAGGGTGGCAGAGGGTGAGCCTCAGGAGCCCGTTTCCTGGATGATGATGAGCGCGTGCATTGCACCTGATTCTCATTCTCGCCCATATCAACTGTAAATTGTGTTTCTTTCTCTCTTTGATGTTAGAGAGAGAAGAGAAGGCAGTTTTTTGGTGAGCTTCTAACTCTAAGCGCGTTAACTATAAGCCTATAGCCCGTAGGGTTAAAGTTGAACAGACTTCTGTGTTTTCTTTGGGCGGGAGAATGTTTCTTTTTGACTCTGAGATAAAGCGGTGTCGCTTTGTGAAGGGAGAGTCTAGAACCGGGCTTCTCGTTAAACCTTCTGATTTTGGGGCTAATGGTATCGTGAAATGGGTTTAATGAAAAATTTTATCCTTATTCTATTCTAATTAAACAATTTTGGATTTATAGTATTACATTGTGTAATTTAAATTTTAAAATATTAAAGATTAAATAAATATGATCCAAATTATCTAATTTTCGTTATGTATAAGATCAACCTAATTGATCGTTACATGAAATGTCAAAATAATATTGGTTTTTTTTATTTTGTTGTTAATTATGTTTTTTAAAAAATATTTTCAGCCCCTCAATCTTGAAATTTTTTTCTTATAAATATTATAAATTTTTTATAAACTATATAAAAAACATTTTATAAATTTTTTTAACCCTCTAATTTTGAAAAAATAAATTATAAACATTTTCTAAAAAACAAATTTATAACTTATAAAATTAAGGGGGAAAACCTTTAATTATGCTCATTTTAATTTATAAAATATTTTTTTAAGTCCTAAAATTGTGTATTTTTTTTAGAATAACATTTTATAAAAAATTAAAATTAAAATTTTTCTCAAAATTATGGGGTTAAAAATATTTATAAAATATTTTTTATATAATTTATAAAATATTTATAATATTTTTATAAGAAAAAAAGGTTCAAGATTATGGGGTAAAAATATTTTTTAAATATTTTTTAAAAAACATAATTAATAGCAAAATGTCAAAACGACATCGTTTTGGTATTTTAACTAATGAATAATTTCGTTAATCATTACATATAACGAAGATTGAGAAAATATGAAGATTGGGTAATTTGAATCGCATTTGCTCAATCTCCAATACTTTAGAGTTCAAATTGCACAATTTGATATTATAGATCCAAAATAGAATGAGAGCAAAATTTGTCATTAAACTGTTTATTGAATTATATATGTTCTATTTCTTTACTTTAAAAATGGGAAAAAAAAAAAAAAGACAATTAAAGTGTCATTATACCAAATTTCACATACTTATTAAATTAAATTAAAATAATCCAACCAATCGGGTTTTAGGAAAGACCATCGACCCTGTGACTGCTGCATCATTTTTAGTAGAGAATTTGTATATGTGAACAAATCTGACTTACCATAAGCCAAATTCTTTACTCATGCCATATAAATTTGGGTCTGCCAGTAGAGGTTCTAAGACAAAAGATTAGCTTAATCAGGTTGAAATATCGTAGATAAATATAACAATAAAGGATTATCTTCGTCCATATTCATGGTATTATCTGTTATATAGCAGCGCAGTAGATGTGCAAAAACAAATTACTCAATAAACCATAGTTCTCGAAACCGAATCTGAAAATAAAAATTTGAAGAATGAAAAAGAAACATCAGCCATTGCCGTCCAATTCAACACTCAATAGACATAATAAAATGTTTTCCAAAAAAACTGTTTCCGTGGGTCAACCATAAGTCTGTAGCATTACATTGAACCAAAATATTTATTTTATTTCTTCGGTATCTGGACCATTTCCGAAGAATGAAGTCATTTCATAAGAAAAAATAATAAGACAAGAAAATATAAACCATCGATTAAAGACAATAATCAAAATACGTTCATCTCCCATTAACGGCCAAACATGCCTTCTCCAGGACGATGTTTCTCCATGTTTAAGCTGCCGTCATTTTCCATACAAAATTGTACATCCCAAGCAAAGTAACAGTAACATCATACCAGAAGTAAAGCAATTGTGCATAAATTGGTGGCTTACAGATTTAACATTTCGAACAAATTTTAATCATTACAAATTGAAAATAAAGGAATTGATGATGAGTTAGACTCGCTCAACATTTTTTTCTTTTTTTTGTAAAATCCTTGTAAATGGAGTTGAATTAAAATAAAAGACAAAAGAAAACTGGAGAAGTAAGCACATCACCAATTACAGTACAGCAATAGCGTTGTTGGGTCAACTTCTTAGCAGATTTTGTCCTTCACAATAAAACCAGCATAGCATCCCCTAACATCTTGTTCTTGCATAAGGTAAATGGTGAGTTTGTGTCCCAGGAGCATAGAATAAAATTGATTTTCCCGACCATCATGCTTTCTTCTTGCTGACCTACCTCCAGCCCGAATCTCAAGAGCTTTGGATAAATTAACAGCAGATTCTGCTTCCTCCCTTCTTGATTCCATTAAAGATGTTTGAAGATCTAGTTCACATTATCTCCTAGATTTTGGGGTTTTTGTTTTTAGTTTTTTCCTCTTTTGGTTCTTCAATTCACTATCCCTCGCATGCCCATCAGAGCTACCCTTTCCTGAAGCACTTACAGCTTTACTTGTACCTGTAGATGATGAATGGTTGAAGCTCCAACGAGCATTCATAAACCACTTGTCAACCTGCATAATACAACTTCTAAATAAGGAAAACATGAAACTATATTCTCTTATCTTTCATCCAAAAGAGAGTAAGTTTTAGAAAGAATAAAATAATTCCCCGGTTGTCTAACCTGCTCAAAAGTAATTCCTAGCTCTTGTGCACAGCTTGCTTTTGCAGCTCGGTCAGGATACCGATTTTCCTTGAAGAAACTGTACAGTCTCTGCATACAAAAATGATCAGCTTAATGTCTAGCACCCTTTGTGCGTGTGTATCAGAGGGGAGGGGGAGAAGAACAGAAAGTGAAGCTGTAAGATACACTATTGTTCCTAAGAGAACAATGATAAGGGCATAACATCATGATATCCAAAAGAATCCTAAAACAGGATCAGGAGCTGGCAAATTTCAAGTTTTTTTTGCATGTCCAAACAAATAAGAGGAATGCTAGCAACATTTTCTTTAACACACTCTTTTAAACAATTACTCAATAAAAGTGTTCATGTCAAGCTTTTTTAACTACTACTAACATCCCAGCAAAAAAAAAGCATGTTTTTAGAGAGTTTTTAAATTACAACTAATTTTATACTATTTAAAAGACCAAAATACTTATTTTTTTTATTTGTTTAGCCAATGAAAAACCATTAAGTTAAAACCAAGAGTTAAAATTTTTCTTTTCTTTTCTTTCTTGAATGCAAACACTGAGTGTTTTATCTTTATAATAAATGAATAATTATCCATTACATTGATGCTTTATGCAAAAGAATAAAAAAGAAATATTTTAGTTTTTTAAATAATATGAAATTGGCTGTAATTTAAAAACTTTTTAAAAGCACGAAACATTAGTTATCTTCTGATTGCTAATTTTTTGCTTAGATGTTTAAGATAGTTAAAAAAGTTTGACATGGACATTTTTATTGAGCAAGTGTTTAAAAAAAAGCGTTAAAGAGAGTGTCGCAAGCATTTCTCAATAAATAAGGGTCCTCTATATCAATGATATTTCTCTTCTTCAAAAACTACATAAGCAACTTTCGTAGATTGAAAGCAAGACGAGGACAATTTTTCATGAGCATTTTTTGCCAAGTACTTGAAAAGTTTCAAACATAAGTGGATCATTGAGGAAGTTTGCACGCAGGATTACAAATTTGTTAAAGCAAACTTTGAGACCCAATAAAAATGCCAACAAAACACAAACCAGCATTCATGCAGTGACACCTTTGAAAAGTGACTGGGGGGCTAAAGAATAATAGGAAACACTGGGGATGCTAAAGGGAAAAAAATTATTTATTTTGTTCTCCTGCTAAAAAGGACAAATAAATCATATAGTATATTTTCAATGACGGCCCGTCCTTTATGAAAAGGATACAATACAGAATAATGGCATGATATCCTCAACTCATTTAAGAATTGATGAGTTATTAGTACTGTTGAACATATGAAAAAAATAACTTACGAAAACATACCTGAGTCACAGCTTCTCCAAGTTTTTTATAAGCAGAGGGCCTAAGTCTTTTACCACTAGAGCCAGATCGAGAAGCACCTACATGTGGTTTAGCTGGGGAAACATTTGTATCTTGAAAGCTTGAGTTTTGGCAAGTTCTTCTCTCTGGAGTATGTTCATTCCCCTTGAATTCTTGATTCATATTCTTGCTATTTATTCCATTCTCAGTAACAGAAGCATCTCCATTTGCTGCCACTGTAGCAACATCTCCAATGTTTTTCCTCCTCTTCCTTGGTGCAACAGTATCAGTGTAATCATCATCACTTGAAGTAGAAACGTTTCCATATGTTTCCTTCACAAATAGAGCACAGAAACGTGAAATTAAACTGTTGAAAGAAAACATCATATGATTAAAAAACCTTAATATTTGAAATTAAGTTTATAACTTTATGAGGGTAGAAGATGGACAAAATTTAATGTGAAATAACTAAGAAAATATTTTTTGCTTGAGAGGCTTTATCCTTATTGCTTTAGGAAAAAAAATCGCAGAGGAATGTGATAGATATAGTGTCATCTATGATGTAGCGCAACTATTTTCTACACATATGTAAGGGCACCACATTCATAGGGAAGCATTCTATTATATTTGCTTCCCAAAATCATAAATATTTGGCATTGTACGTGTTACAAAGAGTGGAAAGTTCTGCTTTTATATTTATTCCAATTCCATGAGTGTATATAGTGCATGACATCTATCAATAATTCCTTGTTTCTGAAAAGTAGTGGAACAGGATCATAGTCAGGTTAAAATAGTTTAATTTATGAGGAAAGAATCACAATTTCTTCACTTCTTAACAAGAAGTAGGCAAAACACCTATCTGAAACAAAAGATCAGGACGTAACTCTAATTACAGAACCGTGCTTGAAATAAAAGTGTGTGAAACCACCACCAAAAAATAGTACCAAGACTACATGATATAAATGCTGTTTCAAGTATTATAAGATCAGAGGCACTCACATCATAGAGCTTCTTGTAGTCCAATCTTCCAACAGTTCTTTTTCCAGAAACTGGTGCAGACTCATCTTGGCGCAGATCTGGTTCTAGTATGGATAAAAGCTCACTGTTTAAAGATTGCATCTTCTTTCCACCAAATTTAGATCTTCGACCATTAGAATCTCCACAAGGTTCAATAGGCATGTGATTTTCATCTTCTAAAGACAACCCATCACTATTAAGTGTGGCAGCAAGATCCTCAGAGTCAGACGTAAAATCAGAACTTGAACTATCCTGCTTCAGCTTCTCCTCAAGATCTGGAGCATCAGGATCATAATCATCATCCTCTGAATCATCAGAAGGGAGCCCCAATGACTGTTTATCATCAGGTGGAGCCTCTGACTCATCAGATGCAGAAGTGAAGTCAGATTCGTCAGAGCTTAATTCCTCCTCCTGACTCTTCTCATCAATATCTGGACCATCGGGATCATAATCATTATCATCAGAATCATCAGAAGACAGTCCAAAGTTGGGATCCAGTTTTTGTCCAGATGTTGCAGCGGCAGCCTCAGGGAAAACCCTCTGCACATGGGATAGGAGTAAGATAAGGAATGAACTCAAGTTTGTAATAATCAAATGTTAAGGCTGAGGGCTGCAAGATTACCTCCCAGCTATTACTGAGAAATATATTTGTTCCTTGAGAGTCATTAAGCAACTCAATGCAGTCAACTTTGCAATCACATCCAGGGCATAACCAGCCCTCATCATCAGGAGGAACTATATGAAAAATGGAAACATGCAATCAGGAAAGTATAAATGACAAAAGAAGTAACTTAGGAAAGTATAAACTTTGCAACTCAATGCCATCAAATAAATAGATAGGGCATTACTGTCTTCTCTTAACAATGGTGGTACCAAACAGTACTGATGAAACCCTCGGTCGCAAGCACCATCACATAATATTATATCATTATCAGCAGTCAAATCTTTGGACCCACATTTTGCACAGAATATCTGCCACAAATGAATTTTGTCTAAGCAATTACACTCCAAGAGATATTCACAGTTACAAAACCATCCTAAACAGCAACAATCACGGAAGTAAGAAGTTTGTTAACAAGAGAACATGACAAATTAAAAAAAAATAACAAAAAAATCCTACATCCTCACTGTCAATCTGTCCTTCAGAATCAAATAAAGATGCTGGGAACCTTCCTTCGCTGCATAGTGAATCAATATGTTGAAATAAATCCCTTATTTTCACTTTGCGTCTGATAATCTCAGACATGGCTCGTTGCAACTCCTTCTCGGGCTTTAACTTTTCTAGGCTGGCAAATTACATGAGTGGTCAAAGAAGCAATTATAGATTAGCTCTCCAGTGGAGAAAAGATCACTACAGATAGTGTGTGTAAAAAAAAGAGCCTGAGATCACATCATTTTAAAGGGCAGGTCAAACTGGATTTCATTTAGAAACAAAAAGGTTTCCTTCTATTTCTCATAATCATACCAAGCAAAAACAATTCCCTAGTTCACTCAAATTAGCCTCCTTGACAAAGATATTGAGATATTTTGCCACATGAACCATACTATAGGCGATAGTTTTTTTTTAAAGGAAAAAAAGGGCTCAGATCTGTGTACACAGAGAAAAAGAGAGATGCACCAGAGAAGCGGGTTATTATTTGGCAACAAAGCTGAAAGCTGAACTAACATCATCTTAGATCCCTTGTTTCAAAAAAATTAAATAAGGATCCTTTATTGATCCCACTACTCATTTATATAGCACTACTCCTAAGAATCAGTTAACGCTAATGATCATCTGGTTCAAAAGTCAAGCGTCAATAGGTTGTCCAATGTAAATAACTTTGAATTCTTTGCAAGTGTAGGTAAAATAATTCCTATTCTATATTTTTCTCTGACATTGGCCTTTTTCCAAATGTAATGAGTCCTTGGTGGATAGTCAGCACATAAATCTGGATTAAACTTTCCATACTATAAAAATTTTGTACTAAAATCAAAACAGACATTAAGTGATAACAAAATTAAAAAAGTCACTAAAAACAAAACAAAAGACAAGGTTATGGAAAAACTTTGTGGTAGAATAGTACACACCTAAGTCCTTTCCAGCCTTCCCCAGAATAAGCAGTGATCAAGCTTTGCTCATAGCTCATCCGATTCAATAAGTACCTAAGACGTGCCCTGATTTTGGAATATTCATCAGCCACGATATTCTTCCCTCTTCTCTTTTTCCTTCTTTTCCCTTTTTTCTCACCAGTGGAATTAATATTAGCTAAATTATTACTTGACTCAGGTGCTTTAGATGTCTCTTGTGATCTTGACCGGAGAACTCTATCACTTCTTCTCAACGATCTTAACATATATTTTTTCCTTGACAATTTTGAAGTTCTCTTACCACTAGGTCTACCATGTCTGGTAATACCAACCACAACTCCAGACGGTGTTTCCAGATGTTCACGATCAGGGCATTTGCCCTTGTCATCATGAATTGGTCTTGTTTGTTCATTTGCAGGAATGCTGACATAGTCACCAGGAGGCAAGCCTATATGCGTGATAGGAGAACTCTTGGTCACATGTTGAGTAAGAGGCTCCCAATTCTTGACAGAAATATCACTATACAATCCAGTGCCAATTCCCATTGATTCATTTTCTGAACGTTCTGAACCAGGCTTCTGTCTTTCTTCTGATTGTTCACAACAAGCTCTGTAGGAAGGAAACTCAGGTGTCTTTCCAGATGTAGTTTGTTGAAGGTATGAACTTTTATCAATCTGGTTACTCTTGCTTGCATTTCCATGTGGTGGACCCACATCTTCAACACAAGAATGATTGGCTAGAGCTTCAAGTGATAATTGACAGGTTTCATTAGCAATGCAGCTTGATGATGCTGCATTGGTATTTCTAGGTTCATCCTGTAGAATACCAGAGTCAATTGCCTTTGATGATTCATTATGCATACATGCAGTAACCACAGTTCTAGCACCTGGCTCAAGTTTCTGATCCATAGCAGTTAATATAGGTCTTGAACTTCTACCTAACAGAGCACTCCTAGGATCTTCAAGAGGTGGGTCCAAATCAGTAAGGGAATTGTTTGTTGCATCTTCATTAGATGGTTGCACAGTTTCCCCAGCACCAGATTGGAGAACTGCAGTACCGCTATCTCCAGCTTCAGTTTGTATGATTTCAGACTCAAGCTTATGTTTCCCTTTCGAATTTCCACCACAGTTGTATTCAGCACTGAGTTCATGACTATTTTCCAGTGTAGTTTGTGTAGGACATGAATAACTTATAGTGTGAGAACTAACTTGTGATGGAGAAACACCCATGTGCTCAACCTTGGACATGGGCTATAATTAAAACATACCAGCTCTCTAGAATTCAAATGCAACCTTGTGTTTAGAAGGGCCTTCCCACAAAACTTCTGCGAAAAGGAAAAATATGAGTCACTACAAATAGCATGGATGTTGTTCTCCTATCTGTACTCCATACACTTGCAGCATACATTAAACATCAGGAAATTTCTTGGAGAGAGATAATCCTATCTCAGCAAACCAGCCCAAACAAACAAAGCATGGACAAGGTAAGGCAGTGAGTTATACAATGACTAAATGATCAAGGCAAAATAGTTATTTCAAATGTTACTTCGTCTTTGCATAAGTAAATTCAAGCAAGTCTTTATAAGAACTCAAAAGACTATTATCATTCATTCAGTTGCAGTGATTGTTCACCAATAGACTGCTCTAAAACAAGTTGACATTGTAAGTTAAAATAGTTATCAGCAAACTTTGACACTCTCTCCTTCACTTCAAATGGAAACATATGCATTTCCGCATAAACAACATGAGTCAATTTTTAGAAGCAACCTTCTTTGCACACTTGCAACACTTGGCATCAAACACACACATCTTTTTATCAATTATTAAAATTCTGTAAACCCTAGCTAGCATCAATTAACCAGAATAACAGACAAATTCTTGAAGATAGAAAAAATAGAAAAAATAAAATAGCCTGAGTGGTCGAAAACCTCTACCCTCATTTCCTTGCAATTATTTATCACTAAGCTGACAGGACCTTAAAAACATATTCCTTAGCTCTCTTTTTTTAATACATATTTTTACTTAGCAGAAACTAATCTATATATATAGCTAACTTGAGCTCTAGATTTCAAGGCTAAATTTTATAGAATAATACCAATCTAAAACTTCTCTTTTTCTTTCTTTTTTTCTTTTCTTGAGGTTTCTCGGAAACCAAACAGCTAAAAAACATAAATGGCAAATCGATTAAAGAGCTTCACTCAGGCGACATTTCTACGTTGCATTCCTTTTAAAGCTCAAAAAACACAAAAGCATGAAACAACAAAACGGATTTTTCTTCTCCCTAAACCTCAACTTTTCGCGGCGAATTAGTTTCTTTTCTACAGTTTTCTAGAGAACAGGAGAATAAAAAAGGAATATATACAAAAAAATGAAACTGAGATATTTTTAGTTTAGAGAACTGACCTTAGCTTTTTCTTTATTTTTGCTGCTTGCTGTAGTAATTCCTGCAAAGGAGCGCAAAGTAGAGTTTCGATGCGTAGAGAGATAAAGGATTTGTGAGGAGAGAAGAAAAAGAAAAAAGCGGCTGATAGTGGTGGTGGAGGAGAGTAGAAGAAGCCTCTAAATCTGGGCCACCGTCGCTGCGAAAACAAAAAACAAAAACAAAAAAAAAGAAAAAAAAAGGGCTTTCAGTTCCTGCTATTGTGCGCTTTCGGTTTAATTTTTGTGTGTTTCCGAATGTTCCTTTTATGGGCTGGGGCTTCTACTTTACGCATTCGGTTTCTTATACAGAAACGACAAGTGTGGGCTGCTCCGTTCTTTTGTGTTGGGCCAGTTAGCCTGAAGCAGATAACAGAAATATGGCAATCTTTACTTATTAGTCTGTGCCAAATTTCGATGGCTTCGGCTCAGGCCTATTCTGATAAACTTATTGCTAAACGTTGTCCAAAAAAATTGACTCCGGCCTTAATTATAACGATTTCATTTTCTCTACGTTGTCGAAATTCACTGCTTAATTTCTATATACGAATTCCACAAGTTTAATTGCTTGAAAAGATTGATTCCAGCCTTTAAATGTTAATCATGGATTCCAATTCCCTTCTTTTTATACCATAAATTGTAAGCTTTTGATGAAATGAAAAGCCTCTATCATGCGAGAAAGAACTTCGATTTTATTTACTTCATTACTTTCCTCTGAAAACTACTGGGAAAATTATGAAAGAAGGCTTTTCAATGAGATTTTTTTTTTTTTTATCGAACAAAATAAGAGAACAGCTCAAGCTTGAAATCTCTTTCCAGTTCGACTAAGACCCAATCCGTTTATTATTGGATTATAGCAAAAAAATTTATATATTATTATTATTATTATAGCAGGTTAGTTGAACTGTTTAACATAGTTTTCATGGATTTTGCTTTCTAGTTAGGATTTATGGAGTATGTGGGATTGATATTGTGTTGTTGGTACTGATGGAGTTTTCCACACTCTCCGGTTTTGATTTCTTCAAACAAATTATGAATGACCAAAGTTCATCACATAGCTTATTTTATTAGCAATCAATACTTGAAAAAGGATGGAAATTAATTATGATTATGATGTTCTTTTTTTTAATTTTTTCAGAGATTCTTTTTAAAGAGAGAGAGCAAATTGTGGTGCTCTTAAGAAGTTGTTATGTGAACATCATCTTGTTCTTGTGATTAGGGTGTTGTCTTGTGTGGCAGAGATTTAAATACCAACTTAATCGATTTTGTAAATAAATAAATAAAAAAAAACCATTATCAATTTTAAGTAAAACTTATATGCGTTCATGTTTTAATAATTTCAAATTTAAAATCATATAACCTGCATGTATTAAATTAAGCTATCCAAGACAGTTTATTGTTTTTTTTTAATGGTTCAGTTTTTTTTTACAAGCCGAAATCTATTAATTATAATGAAAAAAATTTATTGTTTTTATTTTTTTATTAACTCGTAGAATATCATTGAATTAATTAGCCGTTAGTTGCTGTTTTCATTTTATAGTAATATATGGTACTACCTAACCAGAATATATAAAAAATAGTTTATTATACCATAAAATCATGAACTTTACTCATTTTAATTATTTAGCACATTTTTTTAAAAATAAATGAAAAATACTTGAACTAAACTTTCGATAACCATTTTAGCACAGGAGGCATTTTCCATTCAAAATTTCGAGTGCAACCGACTTGGCATATAATGAAGCATGATAATATGGCTAATTTTGTCACGTAGCATTCCACATAGGATCCATATGATCTATTAATTACTCGGTAATAAATTACGTGTCAATCACTCCCTTCTTAACCCTATCAAAAAAAATCCTTAACCCAAATTCAATAAAATAAAATAAAAACTCTAAGAGAAAGAAAACCTCCTTCTCTCTTAAAAATATGTCATCATCCATATTTCTTTCAAGCATCAATCTGTCTCCATCTTATCTCCAATCAAAACCCATATTTTAATGATACAACTAGCTTCGCCATGGAATAGTAAACCAAGTTATTTCTTAACAATTATATTGCAAACCCATTTTTATATACCTACCCCATTATGCAGTTTGTCCTCAATAGCTATAGCACTAAGAAATACATTTTCATCTATCAATTGAATCAAGATTGGTATTCTTTAACAACATACTCGATATCATCATTTTAAAGTCTTCTTGGATGGTTGGATTGGGATGGATTTTCCCCAATTTGTGTTATTTGATTGGGACCGTGTTCTTCGACCGGAAGGGCTCCTGCAGGTGGATCATTTCTTTTGTACCAAATAGGATATGAGGCTATATTTGGATGAGTTTGCAAGGCCGAGCTACAAGAAACTTTTATAGAGTTGTACCAAAGACGAGATGAGCTTTTCTTTTTTGCTATTATGGAAAAGCTTATTAGGTGATGAGATTTCCAAGATATGCATGTCATTTATTGTCAATAAATGACAAGAACCTACTGGTAAAACAAAAGTTCATATCCAAACATGAATCTCAAATCTTGTTATCCATTAACCACGATTGCTCTTTGAAGTAATAAGAAGGTGAATAAATTTATATGGATTCAATACATGTTCTTATAACAATAATTGTAAAAATCACATTGTCATCTCTTTACTCGTTAACCACATCGATTAACACCCTTCATGCCATTCCTCTTCTCCACCAAAATCGGACCCACCATCATAAGTCATTATCCTTGCCAACAACCATTGTGTTTTGGGAATATTTTTTATTTTAAGTCAAGACTTGATTAAAATTAGATGACATATCATCCAAATTTAAGGAGAGAAATTTTAATGTTTAGTCATGTGTCATCCTACATGGATCGTAATCTATGACGGCATCCTACATGTCGTGCCATGTCGACTAAAGTTGAAATTTTGTTAGAAAAATGCCTCCCGTGCTAAAACGAGTTACTAGAAGCTTAGTTCGCACATTTTTCATCAATTTTTAAAAGAATTTGTCAAAATGATTAAAAAATGTAAAGTTCAAAATTTTATGATACAGACAAGCCTAAAAAATATAATTAATTTCAAAAATTTCAAAAGGAAATGAAAAATTTTTGTTAGCGGATTGTGTGTCTCATTTTAGAACAAAACTCGATGGCTTCCATTAAGACACCAATTTTAGAACTATGCTTTTGTGTTGACTTGTCTAATGGTAAACATATCATTTGAAATAAGACTCGAAGGTTCCATACATGACATGTGATCTTTGTTAGGTTTTAATTAATTTAAACATTTTATGATTTGATGCAATATTAGATGAGTCAAACTCAATCAATAATTAGGATTTATGCAACTTTTTAGGTAAAAATATACGATTGAGATTAGTTGTTTTTTGAATTCTTTTTTGTGTGATGTATATACAAAATAAATTTTTCTAATAGGTTAAGGAATTCTCTAATGGTAAATTAATAATTAAATAGATGTGTGACTCGATTAGGCTTTTTAGAGTGACTCTATATGTGTGATAAAAATGATGAATAATATATAATTTCGAGTGCGTAAATTGAAAACCTAAACATCTAGATGGTTAGAGTTCTTATATAAGTGAGATTAACCATCAAGATTTTATCATGTTACGTAGTATAGAGGGTAGAATGAGTTATTCTTTTACTAGTGATAGTCTTTGATACCAACTTGTATGACATATATCCTTGGCGTTACTTGTTCTTTGATGATGCTACCATTATCATAGTTATTATGGATTGGACAAGGACAATCTTGAAATTTTGTCTTCATTAAATGCTTGTCTTTTTTATCTTGTCGATTGTTGGAG